GTTAGCAGCTTGATACGTGTACATACGGTCGGCTTCTAGACTTAAATGTGTAATATACTCCTTTGAAACTCTGTTTTCATGAGCTTTCTTGGAATTTAGTGGCTTTGAGTGAAGTCCTGATTTCTTCTTTCATTAAAAAGACATTATTGCCCTGGCTGGGTGGTTCAGTTGGTTGGAGTGGTATCTCATTCACGAAAAGAGTGTGGATTTGATCCCCAGTGGGGGTAGGTATGGGAGGCAAGCGATTGATGTTTCCCTTACATTCATATTTCTCGTTCTCTAAAAATCAATAAACATCCTCAGGTGAGGATTTAAAAAAGAAAAACCACAACATTATTTTCCATCATGTACTTAGGGGTGGGGAAGGCAGTTGAGAGAATATAAGAAATATATAATTTCCTGTTATTTTCCATTTATGGTCCATCAAGTTATAAACAAATGTGAAAATGGTGTGTCTGAGGAGCAGCAAGGAATCAATCACAAAGCTGTGTGCTCTGTCTCAGTCCAGCCTCGCTCCGTCCCCATTGGGATGGACCAGGGTTCAGGACTCCTTACTTCCTGCCTGCACTGCTACAGACACCTGCACTTCTGCCAGCTGACAGCCACAGCAAACCCAGGCAGCTCCTTGCTTTGGCCTAGGGGACCTACTCAAAGAGTAAGGCCAAATGCTTCCATTTGCTGTAAAGACATTTCACCATCTGGCCTTCCCTCCCACACCCCTTTCCAGCCCCAGGTGCACACCCTGTGCTGTAAGCACATTGAACGTGTCACTGTTTCCTGGCAGGCTGGACCTTTTACAGAGCCGGGCCCTTGCCTCCTGTCTGCCCAGAAGGGTCTTACACATCTTCTTCAGCAGCACTCTGACCACAGGGCACTGAGTCACTTTGTTCACCTTTCAATGAACTCTGTATACGCAGGGTGGCAGGGACCCCTGGCTTCCTCAGGACTGATCCTCAGCCTCCAGCATATAGTTTTCCTCATTGCTGTTCTAATAGTTTGGATTTCCATGTAGACTTCCCTACAGATCAGTGGTGGTGCATGCTTAGGCTTCTTGGCTATTATTCATAAATAAATTTGGATTTGAATTTATCAGTCTTCTGTGAGTTTGGTTGGTGTGAGTGAGATCTCCAACTCGAGCTGTCTCTGGGGAATGATCAAGCTGCCTTCCTGTACCTCAGGGCTGAAGACCAGACCTAGAATGTCGTCAGCCCCCTGATTTTCTGTAATTTTAAAAAATATAGCAGTGATAAATAGATGTTTAATATATTTGTCTGTGGTAGAACTATAATATTAAAATACGGTAATGGTATTCCTCCAGCAAGATGGTGAAGGGGAATTGAATAGGTAGAGTTGAGAAGCGGGGCCAGCCTGGGGTTGAGGCCCCTTGACACGACTGTCCTCAGATGTCCCCTGAAGCGGGTGCATCTCCCCTGCTGGACCTGAGCAGGAGGTCGCTGGTGGATTTTGCACATGAGGTTTTTCTTTCTCTAAAGAATCAAATTTTTTTGGTGGTCCCCTCCAGAGTGGGGGAACAAGACGGTGTGCGGAGACTGAGAGCCTGATGGGAAGAAAGGCCTGGGAGCCTAGCAGGGACTTGTATTGCAGCTAAATGCAACAAACACCTGTGGAGCCCCTTGTTCTGTGCCAGGCGTTGTGGAAGGTACCGGAGACACAGAGGAGTAAGATTTGGCCTCAGCCCTGGAGGAACTCCGCCTCCTGAGGGTGGTTCAAAAACAGAACAGTTACAACGCAGTGTTTCGGGTGGTAGGAGAGGGGGAAGGTGTACTCCAATTATTTTTCATTTCCTCATTCTCACACACCTGCCCCACTCACAGGCTAAGGAAGCTGCTTTAAATACCACAGAACACTTCCTCCCCGCCACCTGTGCCAGCTGATTAGACAAGTGCTGGATACCCGAGCTCAGGTGGGCCGGACAGAAAGTCTGCCAGGAATTTGGATTAGAGATGCCAGGCGGCTGCAGTCATGTGGAAGCTCAGGTGCCCTGCAGGCGGAACGCAGGCGGGTGGGCCGCAGAGAGAAGGATGATGCCCTCGGGAAAGCCCCGGCGGACAGCAGGGGGAGAGGGGGAGAGGATGTCTGTGTCCGCCTCCTTTCGTGGGCTTCTGGCCTCTTCCTACTTACCGGGTCTGAGGCTCCCCGTGTCTGTGCGGGGCACCGCCGCGCTCTCTCTCAGCTCTCCGAACAGGTTTTGTCCCATTTGATGAAATATTCCTTAAGAAAAAAGGTACAGGAACAGGTTGCCATTCCAGCCAAGCCTTTCACCAGGCAGATACTTTCGGTGTCTTCCTTAATCTGAAAGGAGGAAACGCTTTGCTGCCTATATCTATCTATCTCTGTATACACGCAAGGATTCAGGGCATAAAATTTCTGTGTTTTCTTAGTTTTAAAAATCTTTGATCTTAGTTTTATATAAAGTTTTCCCAGCTGAGCTATGAGGGCAAAAGAAAGGAATTTGCTTTGTGTTGGTTTTTGTTCCCAGATTAGCCTTAAGAAGAGACTAAACACCATGTTCCTGAAGGCCTAGAACTGGCAGAGAAGGTAAGGGGAGAACCAGGGTAGTTAATAACTAGAGCAGAAAAATTGGGAAGTTCCTTTGTAGTCAGGCATCTTTCAAATTCCTGGGAAAAAATTGTATTTGAGGGGGAAGAAATTCAGTTTGCCATTAGTATGAGGTCATTCTGTGAGGCATATCAAACCTACTTCTTTTTAGCCAGAGCCTTGCTATATAGACTTTGTACAATTACCTTTCCTACAAATAGTACTTTGGTTACAACCCATTAGATCTTTTTTTTTCTTAAGGTTGTATTTATTTATTTTTAGACAGAGGCAGGTGGGGAAGGGAGGGAGAAAGGGAGAGAAACATCAGTGTGTGGTTGCCTCTTGTGCGCCCCCTTCTGAGGACCTGGCCTGCAACCCAGGCACGTACCTTGACTGGGAATTGAACCAGTGACCCTTTGGTTCACAGGCTGGTGCTCAATCCACTGAGCCACACCAGCCAGGGCACAACCCATTAGATCTTGATATGTGGTATTTAATTTTTCATTGAAAACATTGTTTTAACATCTTAGATACATGCTCACCTGTTATTTAGAAGAAAAGATGTAATATTTCAAGTATCCAGTTTCTTTGTCATAGTTTTGTTATTTCTAATTTTATTACATTTTGTTTGAAAATTGCTAGTGTGTACCAGTCATTATTTTTTGTATCTCACAGGCTAGTATTTGTTTAGTTATGACAAAGCACATGTACTCTTTAAAATGTTATTTCAGAAACTCCAAACTTAAGATGATTTAACATGGAACCTCAGCTTTGATGTTGTTTCTTATAAGAATTAATGTTTTGGGAATCTTGCTGTTAATCCTATTCAGGGGCTGTGACCACCATGAGCACTTTGATACCATGTCAGGTCAGGGGCACGCCCAGCAGCTGCCTGCCTCCGCTGTGCATGGAGACGGGACCCTTGAAAGGGGGTGGCATGTCATTCCCTCTCGTCTGGTGTCTGGGAACTTTGAGAAGCATTCATGCACAGCAGAGAAAGAAGGAACGGTTTTGAGACAAATGATCTAAACTTCAAGTGTATTTCAGAGGCTCTGGGAGTAACAAGAAATATTATTGCCTGTGGTCTGGCGGATTGATCAGGGAAGGAAAGGCATCTTCAGTCTAAACTTTGTTGATCGTGGTACCTCATAGTTCAGAAAACCTTAGCCAGTGTGGTCCAGGAGGGAAATTTACTCCAAAGGAGCACTGAATTGTTTTCAGTATTTGGTTTGTGCCCTTTAAATAAAGTTTATAATGTTTTCTTTTCATCATCAGTCTTGGCACTCTTATTGTAGCAGGTTTCTATGAACAGATTCCTAGTATATAGCATTTTGTATACAGGAAATAAAGGTGGCCCAGCTTCAGTCATTTTTTATAACTTAATGTCATATCAACTTAATTAGCAATATGGTAGCAATGTAAAACATTTTGTTTGATGAGAGATTATATCCTTACCGTGGAGCATTTAAGAATCCTATTGTCTATCCATTTCTTCAGTCTGTCATATTTCCTTTGTAGGTTTTATTGGTTTGTGATTTGGACTACAACTGTTAATATTCAGCACATATATTCAGATGCATATTCAATAGTTTTGAAATTATTTTATGTGCCTCTTAATCACAGTATTGTGTTATTCTTATATAAACATATTCCATTTGTGGTTAACTTATTTTCTTCTGCTTAGTTCAGTGTTTACTCTGCAACATGGTTGAGCTCACATTATAGCAGAGTGGGAGGGAATTCACTCATTCTACCTTAAGATCTGGTACAGTTTTGCTGCTATTGGTTATTTTCTTAGTTTCAGGATTTGTTGTTTTTTTCTTCTTTCAATGGGATTTCTATAAAAGAGACTAACCTCAGAAGTTTTATGTACATATTTGTTGGCTTAAAATCAGTTTTCTTTCCAAAATAAATACTCTATCCTTGTGTTTGTATATGTCTGAGCTCCCTGTAATTTAATTGTAGTCTGTTCTGGTCTGTTTGCTATGTTGTGCCTCGCTGGTAGTGCACAGTGGGATCAGGGGCTCCCCAGGTCCAGTGTAGGATGAAGTTCATCACTCTTGGTTATGTCTGGCCTTGTCTACCTCTTCAGGCTTACCTCTCATTGCAGGCCCATGTGCACCAGTTCACACGGCATTTAAAATTGATTTTTTAAGTATCTGTCTCTTTTCCTAGGTACAATTATTTAATTCATCTTTGAATTCTTAGCATCTGTCACGGTACATGGAACATAGTAGGTGCTTTGTAAGTGTCTGCTATGTCAATACTTACAAGAGTTGTATTGGGCTTTTCTCAGGCATAAGGGGCCAAAGATAATGGTGTACAAACTAACCTGGTAAGATGGAGGAGTGTTTACCCCATTGTCATTTGAGAAAACCATTTCTTCGCGTTTAGGGGGTATTTCTTCATTTTCTTCTTCTTTTTTTTTATCTTTACTCCAGGACATCTTTTTTCTTGCTTTTTAGAGAGAGAGGAAGGAGGAGAGAGAAACATCAATGTGACAGAGAAACATCTATTGGTTGCTTCCCATACACGCCTGGACCGGGGAGTGAACCTGCAACCTAGGTATGTGCCCTGACCTGGAATCGAACCCGCAACCTTTAGGTTATGGTATGATGCCCCAACCAACTGAGCCACAGCAGCTGGCCAGGGGGTATTTCTTTTTAAATATATGTTTGTGGATATTACTTACATGAACGCTTATTGCTTAGTTTTATCACAAATGGATTGTAAGCTCTTTGCAGCTAAAGCCATGTCTTAATATCACCTCTATTTCTCCTGCTTTGTCTCTACACGGGCAGTCGGCCTTTTGCACTTGCTGATTATGAATAAAGCAGAGAAATAAACATCCTTTCATCTGTTATATAAATTTAAAAAGTCTGTGCATGTCATTTACTGAGCTTGGAGCTTTTTTTAGGGCACAGAGCATATTGTGTTTATCTCTTTATCCACAACATGTAGCACAGTGCCTGAATTTTAGTGGGAATTTTATAGCTCTTGGTAGTTGTGTTGACTAATCTCCTTGGAAGAAAAGAATTTTATAAACTACAAATGTTAAATTTTCTGGATCCATGGGCTTCATGAATTTGTACTATTAGTGTTGTTTGCATGCAAAATTACTCAGTTCTGATGTCCTCAGATATTTTTCTTCACTCAGATTATGCATGTTTTTTTAACTTACTAAGCAAAGAACACCTGTCTCTCTCTTCCCTGCAGGCTGCCATGGCTGCCGTTGACAGCTTCTACCTCTTGTATAGGGAAATCGCTAGGTCATGCAATTGCTACATGGAAGCTCTAGCCTTGGTTGGAGCCTGGTATACAGCCAGGAAAAGCATCACCGTCATCTGTGACTTTTACAGCCTCATCAGGCTGCACTTTGTCCCTCGTCTGGTGAGCAGAGCAGATCTTGTGAAGCAGTATGGGAGATGGGCAGTCGTGAGTGGTAAGAAATGAGATTTCAGTTCTGGTCTAATATCTAAATAATCTGTTTGTGTTTTAACTTGGATGCGTTATTCAAGGAGTTACTGAATTCAATGTGATTTTTTCATGGAAACTTGTTGATTTAAAAAACTTATTACTTCTCATGATTATGTTCACATTTTCTTACTGCTATCATCTTGGAAGAATTTTCCTTTGATTTTTGTCCTTACTCTGCCCTCTCTTATTCCCAGTATTACTCCAGCCCCACCTTCCTACGCCTTGCTTTTCCTTTTTGCTCTCTGTTTTGAAATAGTCCTCACAAACTGTCACCACTTTCAGAAATGCTTTCCTTATTTTAAATATCATTTAAATTTATCGTTTCCTGAGAAAGTATCTCCTGGCACTTACTCGAGCCAGATACATGTTTGAAAACAGTTTCCTACTGTGTCTCATCATCAACTTGGTGAATGTAAAACAACTCTTCGTCTACCTGTCGGGTGTCTGGGAGAGTGTTTGATTAGCATGTGTTGCTCGTATTGTGGCATTGTGCTTGACTGATAAGTATTGTAACTTGCTGTACTTCTAGCATGAGTCTTTTCTCTGATTAAGCCCAGAAATGCGAGAGGGAGATTTAAGGTTCATTTTAAAGATCTCACCATGAAATGAGTATGCTCACTTTTCCTGGTTGTATTGTAGGTGCAACAGATGGGATTGGAAAAGCCTATGCAGAAGAGTTAGCAAGCCGTGGCCTCAATATCATCCTGATTAGTCGGAACCAAGAGAAGTTGCAGATGGTTGCTAAAGACATTGCTGACACCTACAAAGTGGAAACCGATATTATAGTGGCAGACTTCAGCAATGGCCGTGAGATCTACGACCCAATTCGAGAAGCCTTGAAAGACAAAGACATTGGCATCTTGGTAAATAATGTGGGTGTATTCTATCCCTACCCTCAGTATTTCACTCAGGTCTCCGAGGACAAACTCTGGGACATCATAAATGTAAACATTGCTGCGGCTAGTTTGATGGTCCACATAGTGCTACCGGGGATGGTGGAGAGGAAGAAGGGCGCTGTTGTCACCATCTCTTCTGGCTCCTGCTGCAAACCTACCCCCCAGCTGGCCGCCTTTTCTGCTTCTAAGGTAATATTCCTGATTGGAAATGAAATCATAATGCAATAGGACATTTATTACGGTGGTTTGGCCCAATTTGTTGAGCTCTCTGTCAGCAACTCATGTTTGCTTATGCTGTATTTTTTCCTGACATGATAATAAGCAAGCCTTTTTTTCTCCTGAGTTTTCTTCCAAGTTCCAGAATATTGAAAGTCTTTCCCCCTGCTTCATTTTAACAGGCTTATTTAGACCACTTCAGCAGAGCATTGCAGTATGAATATGCTTCTAAAGGAATCTTTGTACAGAGTCTAATCCCATTCTACGTGGCTACCAACATGGCTGCACCCAGCAGCTTTCTGCACAAGTGCCCGTGGTTGGTGCCTTCACCAAAAGTATATGCACATCATGCCGTGTCTACCCTTGGCATTTCAAAAAGGACCACAGGATACTGGTCCCATTCTATCCAGGTAACAGCATGCGTTCACTGTTGCAATTAGGCTAATGCATCCTAAGCCTTTCTAAACGGTATGTGGGAATCTGACTGAAGCCTAAGGCTGAAAGATGAGAATTGCAAATAATTGATTCTTAAACCTGACACTATTTAGTGGTTCTGGTAAGTCACTAAATATTCTTTTATGGAATTATTAAGAACATTGAAAAGTTCAATCTACTTGACACCTAAGGGATGAAATATGCTGCTTTAATATATATAGGTGGTAGCAGTATAAAAATATTAAAAATTTAGATGGGAATTTCAAAGAAAAAAGATTCTGGTAATGCTGGAAGTGGTACTGCTAAATCAACAGGGTGATCCAGAGGCATAAAACCACCAAAGAGGTATTTTATGCAACGTAACTGTCACATACCTCAGTAATCTCAGTATAGTTTTGGACTCGTGTGTTTAAAAAGCATGGAATTTTTTTTTAAGCTTATTCTTCAGGCATGACAAAGATTTGGGTCTTTAGTATTTTAAAGAATAACTTTGTTAAACATTTGAAAATTTGATTCTAAGTAGTAGGTAGATAATTCATAATGATTTATTATAATAGACTTGTGTATCTTTATGTGGCACAGTAGGTAGATGTACCCTAGTTTAGAACTCTTTTTTCTTTAATATATATGGAGTTTTCTTAAATTACCATCAGATATTTTGGGGTCCCTTTGCATAAAGATTGTTAATCAACAGTGAATTTTTACTTTTTTCAGAAGTTTTGGTTAAAAGCTGCTTTAATAAGAAGCTGTTTTATTTAAGCAGTTATTTCCAGGCCCTTCATTACTGGAGAAAAGCAGAGAAACCTAAAATAATTTTTGAAGCCACTGACCACGAAGTTTCCTGAGTAAAGATGATGTTTAGATGTAGTAGATGTTTTGACTGCATTTATAAAACACCAACATTTTAATTATAGTTGAATTTTGTTCACATTGATGAACTTTTTTTGAGAAAGTATGTATATTTTTCTGCCAAGAAATGCTGTTAAGCTAATTTAATTCTGAGAATAGTTTTCTATACAAAGTGGTTAAAACTTTCCATTTTTCTATTTTCATTTTATTTTACTGAATTATTTTAAACATTATCAGATTTTTTTCAGTTTTACAACAGACTTGATTCATTAATTACAGTTTTGTTCATAGCGGATTTCTCTGATAGTTTTGGCTGTTGTGACTTTTCTTTTATAACCATTTCCTCTGAATTCATTTTTCTCAGGTTTCAAAGATCTAAATTTTGTCAAGATTTCGATTGTCTGCCTGTCTTTAGCGTATAAGACATTTACTGCATGAAGTTGGATATGCCAAACACACTATAAAATTTTGTTTTTGCTGTTTGTGCCAGTTAGTCTTCTACGTTATGAATTAAATAAGAATGGTAGGCTGACTGTATTTGTTTCTTAACAAGAAAGGGATAGATTGAACATGAGGGGTTGAAGGAAAGGAATTAGCAAAACATATCCTCAGGGTTTTGGCTTCAGACCCTCAGCGGCGCCACTTACTTGGATAGGTAGCATGAGAGGAAGAGATCAGGTTTTGGAGAAACAGTGAGAGTTTTACCCACGCTGGGTTTGAAGGTTCTGAGAACTCGTTAAGAGAAGGGGGGCTGGCAGCTGCATAGATGGGAGCTCAGATGAGAGGTTTGCACGGAGGGGTAGGCTTACCGGCCGTAGGCATTCAGGTGGACAGAGAGCTATGGGGTCAGTGATGCCACCCTAGGAGAGTTAGTGGAGAGAAAAGGACAGCCTGGTCAGAGACGCAGCGCACTCTAACATTCCGGGGGGGCGGGGGCTGGGCTGAGAGGGGCTGCCAGCAGCATCGGCAGGTAGGGAAGAGAGTAGAGTACAGATGCTAAGAGGAGAGGTGGATTCTAGGTGGAGGGCATATTCGTCAGAGTCTCAGGATGCCATCTGTTCCATAGCATAAGGACCAACACTTGTCTGTTGGCTTTGGAATCTTTGAAGTCCTCGGTAACCTTGATAAAGCAGCTTTGGAGGCATTTTAGGGAGTAGCCGGATTGCACTGAGCGGGTGAGTGCGGAGAAGAGGTGGGCATGGAGACAGTGTGCTCAAGAAATAAGGTCGCGCAGGCGGTGGGTTGGGTCCAAGGAAGGAATTTTGTTTGTTAGTTACTCTATCCAAGTTAGCAGTGAGATGGCTGTAATTTAATGCTGGAGGAAAGGGTGTGTGGAGAAGATGCGGAAGAAGGCATGGTTGCTGGAAGTGGGGGCGGAGGGCTGAGGGCACAGGTAGAGGGGAAGTAATGGGGACTTCGGAGATGACTAGAAAGTGAAGGAGGAGAGGGGAGAGGCTGGGAGACCAGTTGGAAGCTGAGGACCCCTGTCTGATGGCTCCTGTGAGGTTGGGTCTGTGCAGAATGAGGGTGAGGCGGAGGGAGTGTGAGGCTTCAGAGAGTGAGGAGGTTTGAAATAATGATTGTGAAGAAAGGAGGGTGAGGCTCCTGGGGAACCGTCAGTGGGTTGCTGAGCAGCGAGGAGGCCCTAGTGTTGACAGGGACTGAGAACTGGTGGCGGCTTCGCTGTGTGCAGCTTGTCACCAGCAGCGCTCAGCACATTCATGTGTGTGTGGGACACTTCTTGAAGCCGCTTCAAAGATGGCACCAGAAGTAATTTCATGACAGTTTACTGAGAACATTTCTATGTTCGTGTGAAATTTAAAAAAATAATTTTTAATTGATTTTAGAGAGAAAGGAAGAGGGGGAGAGAGAGGCAGAGAAACATGGATTTGTTGTTTCACTTATTTGTCATTCATTGGTTGTTTCTTGTATGTGCCCTGGTCAGGGATTGAATCTGCAGCCTTGGTGTGTAGGGATGATGCTCTAACCAGCCAAACTACCCTGCCAGGGCAAGAGGTTATTTTTAATGCGCTTGCACAGAGGTTAGGGAGCACGTTTCCTCACTCCTGACCCATGCCTTGCCTTCATTACGCATGTCCTCATTTCCTTACACATGTCTGTAAAATATCATCTCTAAACAGGAGCAGTTAGAACTGACTCGCAACCATGACATCTTTGATTTCTTGACATCCATTTCATATTATTTAACAACTGCATCTTATGTATATTATGCCAGCTGTCTCCATTTTGCAAGCAAAACCATAGATAAAAATGATTTGGACTTTAAAAAGAGCTAGAAAGGAATCAAGTGTATTTGCTTTGTTAAGTAGTTATTAATATTGATGTGGGAGCATTTTTTTTATCATTTTCATAAGTGGCATTAGGCAATATTAAATTGTCACCTTCAGAACACATTGCAAGTCTGAAAAAAAAAAGCTTTTCCTTTATAGCTTTCTGTCTGTGATCCTTGAAATAAGGACCAGAAACATGCTGGTATGTGTCTGGTTGAAAAAACAATTAATTTGACAACTTGACCAGTAAGTCTCTTGCTTATGAACATGGACACTGTGTTCCAGGTGACAGGATCCATAGAGAAAGCTCCTGGGAGTGGAGAGTGGAGTGGGGGAATGTGAGGTTTCCTACAGGCTCATAGTCTTTTCTGAATTTCGACCTACCTTTGATGTATTTGTTCACATATACTCCATGTGTTGCTATTGGAAAGAGAAAGCATGGTGTTGAGGGAGGAGGTGGAGCTTGGTGGAAAGGAGAAGGCCCTGCGCCTGCATATTGAGATGTGGGTGAGGGTCGGAGGGAGCCAGGCTGACAGCGGGGTCAGAGGTTAAAGCCCTGTGTGGAGTTTTGTTGCAGAGGAGGGCCGGCTCCTTTCTTAGGCCAGACCAACTGGTCAGGAGGCCTGAGCATGCATAGAGCCTTCCAGAGCCCGAAGCCACCCTTCTCTTTCTTATATATGCACTCACGCCCTCCTCCTCTTCACTTCGGGTGCTTTTCTGCCCCTCAGAGCGCCCAGAGACTTGGCATTCCTTTCCAGTGACGGTTGTTACTTAAACAGGTCAATGAGTCAGCCCCTTTGGTTAATCTGGCAGTACCCAGGGGGAGAAATTCTCCCCTCCTCTTCCATTAGCTCTTTTCACCAAGCTCTTTCCTCCTTGCTGCCCAGGATGCTGAAACCTTATTGGTACCTTAGGAAGCTGTCAGAATACACCTTGATGCTGGTCCCCTGCAATAGACAGTGGCCATGGATGGAAACTGAAAACGGATTTTTAGATGCTGATTTTTTTCTCCAGTAAATAAATACTGCACAAATGTACTTTGGGGAGGGATCTGGTTATCTTTTCTGTCTCAGGTGCCCACGTGTTTGAGTGCTTTACTACTTACAGGGTCCTCCTCAGGGATCGTAAGCTGACTTCTTTCATCTCCTTGGATTTAGAACCTTTTGCTTTAGGACAACAGCTCCAAGGAGGAATATCCCAATATGGTTTCCGTGACAAAATCCTAGTTGTTTAAAGAGGTCCAAAGAGACCTTAGTCTTTCCCCCAGAAGGTTACCCGTGACTCCACGCAAAGTACTGGGCTCTTGGCTCTGAGGTGGTAAGCTGGAGCTTCTGTGGAACCTGCTGTGAGCTGCCGTGGTCCTGGGATTGTCACCTGCAGTTCACCGTACTGGGACACCCTCCTTATTTTGTGTGGTTCCCTGAAGGTGCAGAGTAACCTAGGCTAGAATTTCAGCACTTGCTGGGGGCCTGTCCATCTCCCTTTCTTAACACACAAGGTGTTGAAAATTTCACTCTGTAACTTTCATAATACTGACCAAACTGTCAGTATGTGCAGGGTCCCTCCACTTCAGCACTATTGGCATTTGGGGCTGGATAATTCCTTGTTGTGGAGTTGTCCTTTGTGTTTAGGATGTTCAGCCCATCCCTGACCTCCACCCACTGGATGCCAGTAGTGCCGTCGTCCTGGTTGTGACAACCAGTAATGTTTCTGGACATTGCCATGTGTCTCCTGGGAGAGGGAGGCAAACGGCCCGGGTTGAGGATCTTTGTAGCAGAACAACATAAGCAAGACTTCCTCCCCGATCCCCAAGCCATCTGTCTTCATCCCATCTCAAGACAGTGTGCTAGGGTCCTGGTGTTTTTGACTCAGTTCTCTTGTGTAATGTGGCTCCCTTCTGCCCCCCAAACCTGTTTTCTCACATAGTACTAACCACACATGCATTTCTCTATTTCCGCTGCCTTTTCTTCTGGGATGATTTTATAATTTTTAACCAAATTAAGCAAATTAACATTCTATTTGTATCAGGTAAAGATGGAATCCTATTATTGCATGTAGGTCTGTCCTCATTGAGAAAGGGAGTGGGTGGTTGGTGATCATGTTTCTATTCCCATAGGATCTAACATAGGATCTTATGCAAAAGTAGGTCCTAAGTAAAGCAGCGCCTAAGGTCTTTCTCCTTTTTTATATTTAAAGCGATTGGTGATATTTGTTGTATTAAATCAGATGCTGATCTGTACGTGTCAATGCCAGGCATTGGGTTCTAATCTTACAACCTTTTCTCTTTCCTTTTTAGTTTCTTTTTGCACAGTATATGCCTGAATGGCTCTGGGTATGGGGAGCAAATATCCTCAACCGTTCTCTGCGTAAGGAGGCCTCATCCTGCAAAGCGTGAAACTGGATGATGGGTTGGGAAGCTTTGCCAACTCACAGGAACCTGCAGTATTCTGACATTTGGAAGAACACGTTTAATTAATTTATCTTCTGTATTTTCTTTTATTACTGGTTATTTAGCATACTGCTGACTCACCATTTGCAAAGCAAACGTAATACTTGTAGAGAATACTGTGGAAAAACCTCAAGGGCCACATGGATGGCGCAAAGTAAACAGTGACTGGGGCACAAGAACTGATTGAGGAAACCTAAGTTTTGATGTTTTTTTCTTCCAGCTGTTCAAAAGTTGTGTGATTTATGTTGTTCTAGGAGCTACAGCAATCTGATATTGAAGTATACTTATAACATGGCTTGTCGCCTCTTACAATGTCATATGTTGTTTTTTAAGGGAAATTATTTCAGTAGATGAGCTGTAGTAGTGGTTTTCAAATGTTCGTCAGAAAAGACTATTTACAAGTGTCATTTTATAAGTAAGATTGCTGGTATGATTAGCAGTAGAAATCTGTGTGTGTTAATATTGTATAGCTGTAGTTGTTTGTGAATGAAAATGCTGCTCTTCAACTGATATTTCATTAGACAACTGAATATGTATGGATGTTGTATGCATCTGGGCAACTCTGGGTAAGTTACTTTAAAAAAATTTTTTGTCAAGCTGGTTTAATGGGGAACCTTACAGGGTATTAAAATTCTAGATTATTCCTCTTCATACTAAAAAAGCTTACCCAGTTTTGTGCTATAGGCTTGCCATGTACAATATTACTTACAACTTTTTTTTTTTAAATCTACCATGGACTTCATTACTAGATTTGGACATGTAATGATCGACTGTTATTAGCCTCTTGATTTATAATTATCGTGGATAAGTAGTGATTTCTGAGCCAATGACCCATTTTATAATTGAAATTTAGCTCTTTAGAGCTTGATAAATCTGGTTCCATACACTTTTTAATGTAATATTATTTTATTCCAATAGCATTGTTGGTGTAAACATATTTGTGGAATAGTAGTTAAAATGTGGACAGATTATATGTGTGATATGTATTGTATCTGTTGAAATAAGTTAGAAGCTCATTCTTGGTTCTTGAGATTAATTTTTGCATTATAGTGAATACTTGTATTGGTGTGAAAACAATGACGCAGACCCCCTCCCCCTGCCCCCACCCCCAACACGGGTTAGCACTGATACCTGCTGTGGGGTGCTTTTGGCTCAGGTCCTATTAAACCAAACATTTTGAGGACCACATACCTAGTGCTTTGACCATTGTAAATCATTATTTGAATATGACAGTAGGTACAAAGTAAAAATTTGGAGTTTATTGGGAAACTGATCCAAAAGCAGGGAAACTGATGCAAAAGCTAGGAAACTGATGGAAATCAGGACTTTTATGGAATTGTTTTCTCCTGAGGTCATGTTCCATTATGTGTTGGCCTAAACATGCTTTTATGTTGTGACCACAGTTTTGCTAGTGACATTGCCTCAGTATTTCCAGATATCACTTGGACTCAGTTCAGAAGCTCTTCCACTTATAGGTTGGGCCTTCACATGAGGAAGACATTCAGATGTGAAAACTTACACACTAGCCACACTAGTGTGTTGATGGAGTTGGCTTAGAAGCCTTTATTTGGTCACATTTGGCATTTTCCCTCACTCAACAATTAATTTATTGTCATTAAAACTAGAAAAAAATTGACTTTATGCTACATTGACCTGAACTTTGACATGTAATGAGAAGCAGCAACTTCATGGAAAAAATACTGTATTTATACCTAAAGTATCACGTGGTACAGCAGTGTCTTATATTTTACAGATTAGGTATTGAATCATTGTTACATAATGAAAATAACTAAACCATGTCAGTGATGTTTTAGAATTCTCTGCCTGGCAGAACGTATGTAAATGAACTGAATGGTGCAAAGTTAAAGATCAAAACCAAGAACCTTCCATAGGTTTTGTCTTTCACAAAATACTTTTTCCAAGAGCTCATTTTAGAATCATAATTGGACCACTGTAGATGGGATTTCTTATTAAAAATGTGGGAAATAACCTTTGAAACAACACGTGAACTGAAAATTTAACAGTGAAAGTGGTTGTTTCCTCTTTTGGAAGAGGTTTTGCTCCATATATTTGTAAATGAGTTTCTGGAATGAGAGATACATTTTTTTCTCATAGGAACAAATATTTTAAAATTACAAAAACTGAATTTATGAACACCTGTTGTTGCAATTCATTAAGAGCTGGTAATTCAGCAAAAAATTGTACATAAGTATTTCTTTTGAAAATCCTAAGTTGACTTCTTCATCTCATTCTCCTGACAGGTTGAGTAAGGTGAAGGTTGATTTTGATCACCGACTTTGGCAACATGGAGGTCGCTGGCAGTTTTGCCATGAGCCATTTCATCGATTGGTGGGGATGAAAGGTAGATTGTAATGGGTTTGAGAAAGAGTGGAAAGAACAGGGAGGCAACTCTGTTGAGGAGTCTTTGTTTTGTTTTAACCTCAGTTAAAATCCTGTCACATTTGGGAACCAGAGGGTTTTAGGTCGTGTCCTCCATTTTTGACACTGTGTGCCCTCCGAAACCAATTCCTGTCTCTCCGTGTCTCTGTCTCAGTATTGGCTAAGCTGTTACTCTTTAAAATAACATTTAATTTGAATAAAGATTTACCTCCATGGAATTATGAATGCTTTATTACACACATGAAGCAGGAAGTTGCTATAGAACCTGGAGTGGCGGAAAACTGGGAGACCAGGATCCTGTGGTTCTGTCTGTCTTGGTAGATATCCAAGCCATCCGTTTCATGTCCCAGCCCCCTTCAGTTTATAGGGTTTTCAGGAGCTGGCGGCATTCTTCTCTTCCCCATTTTGTGGCTTCACTATCACATGGCAAGGATGTTTGCAATTCACTCGTTTACCTTAGTCCCTAATAGTGGGGCTGTGTATTCAATGGCATAGAGACTTAAAGGGCTATTAAAAGAACCCTGGCCAAGATCAAATTACTCCAAATTAGAACAGTTAAGTTTAAGATCAAGTGCATTAATGGTGGCAGCAGGGAGTGCTTAATTTTGGGGATTTATAAATGCAAGAATCAAGAATTCTCTGCAATTTCCTTACATTGATACAATCTCAAAATGGGGGGTAAAGGGTATTTAACCAGGTGTGTTTATTGAACATGTATGACTCAAGCTCTGTATGTCTTGTTTGACCCTCATTCTATGAGGTAGGTATTAGTATCTCTTTTTTGGGCAAGGAAGGTGAGGTATAAAGAACAGAGGTACAACTTGCCCAAGATCACAACTAGCAGGTGATTCTGTATTTACTCACTTTACTAAGTGTTTATTAAAGGGAAGATGAGTGCTGAATTTTTTGTTTGTTTTTGGGTCCCATTCAGCAATATCATTGTGCAGCAGAAAGTTCAAACAAGATATAAGGACTTTTACCGTATTTGACTACATTGCACATCATTTTTCATTGTGTTACCTAAAACATGTTTTAGGCCCCCAGTTGTGCCCCGTGCCCAGTGTAGGCCAATTAGCATTTAGACAAAACAGCCTGTGACCCTAATATCTAAATCACCCAGACATTTTTTAGGAGGCAAACGTTTTTTGATCCTTGTTTCTTGGTCCAGGTGAGGCAGAGAGGGGACAGGAGTGGAGCAGACAAAATTTAGGGCACGGGTTTCGTCTGTCAGGGTGGGAGCCAGAGAGGTCCAGGAGGCCTCGTCCTGGCTGCCACGTGGGTGAAATGGGTAAAGGTTTGCAGAGTGAGTGCCTGGGGTTGCTCTGAATGCGGACACAAAGGCCGCAGGGAAGACAGCGTTGGAGTACAGCCTCTGGCGTTGATAGCAAATGTTGGCCACAGGAAGCGTTCCATCAGGTTTGTTTTCCGCGGGACCTGGGCCAGTGCGGCCGCTTTCGTGCTTGTGCCGGTTCTCTATGGTCCTAGCCACACAGCCCAGGGCATCCCACGTTCGTCTTCCGCTGCAGATCATAAATGCCGGACACCGACTGAGTACGAGCGACTCAACCAAACTTCGCAGCCTACAGCCCCGCCTCCTCCGCGGGGCCGCAAACGTCGCGAGACCTTTGTCCGCCCTCCCGTTCCGGTCTGGCGGCCCTCGGCACCCAGAGCGCGCACGCAGGCCCCACGCAGGGCACGCACTGCCGGCAGGGCCGACGTTCCGGGCCGTCGGTCTCCCCGCCCCGATGGCGCAGTGTCGCGAGAGTTTGGAGTAAACAGCCCCCGAATGGAGATCCGAGGCGTGTTCGCCGAGGAAGCGCCGTTATCCCGGGCCCGCCGGACCCGAGCCTGAGACAGCCGCAGGTACGTCAGGCTGCCCGTTCCCAGAGGCTCCGCCCCTTCTCCCTGTTTACGCGGCTGCTGGTGCGTTCATTTGTGCCCGCGGCGTCTGAGGCCCCGGAGGGTGGGTGTCTGCGCGGGCGGTGGCTAGGGCCTCCCTGCAACCCTGGATCCGCCAGGAGCGGACCCGGGGCGTGGGGCGTGGGCCAGGGAGCGTGCGGTAAAGTCAGGCATTTGGAGGCACCCGGCTACGCGGAGTTCATGGCGGTAGGAAATGAGCGGTCCCCTGCGCCCGCCGACCCGGCCTGGACTTCGGGCTTGTGTCCCTGCCTGGCCTTTTCTACGTGTTTACACGGTTGGGTAACAGGCTCAATTTCATTTTCTTTATGTGACAGAAGCTTTAGCGGAGTGAAACAATATGTCCAGCTCTGACCCTCAGCCTTCGAACTTAGTGCTGGGTATACTCCCAGAAGAGTTCTGGTATCAGATTTTAAATGACCTCAGTTCTTTGCCCTAGCTGAGTCTGTACACATGCTCCACTGATTTTCAAAAATGCAATGTAGGAAGCTCCTCAGCAAGTTGGGCCCCTGACTCTCTTTGGTTTACTCTCAGAACCAGAATGCTTTTTAGAGCGCCCTGTCATAATGTGCTTCTTAAGACTGGTATAGATGAACATTTTTATTAAGATGTTTAACCCTTTTTTGTTGGAGTCACTGAGGGTGACCTATTTGTGTATGCAAATTAAGTTCAACATTTACATTTACTTTAAGACACTTCTAAGTGAGGTAGATTGGCATAAGATCTGACTTGAACTCTGGAGAACTTACCAATAGTTTCTTATGCCCCTGCTAGTAAGTAGCTGTCTGACTTCAAGGTCTGATTTTGCATATGCATAAAAGGGGCCTGGAGAAGAATGATTCTTCTCAAGTGTTTTTTACCTGCAGCACCCATTTTATTTATTTATTTATATTTTATTGTAAGAACTTTGTTAAGGTGTAATTTACATACCGTGCAATTCACCTTTTTAAAGGTACTTACTCAGTGATTTCTTAAAAAATCAATCTTACAGAGCTGTGTAGCCGTCACCACAGCACACTTTTGCAACATTTCTGTCATCCCGAAAAGATCCCTGGTGCCCATTTGTAGTTAATACCCATCTCCAACCCCACCCCCAGATCACCACTGATCTTTGTGTCTCCCTAGATTTGTCTTTTCCAACTATTTAATAGATTTAGGCAGAATCATATGTGGTCTTTTGTGTCTGGCTTCTTAACTTTAGCATAATGTTTTCAAGGTGGTTCCAGTTGTAGCATGTATCACCATTCCTTTTTATGACCCAATAATATTCTGTTTTATGGATATGAAACATTTTGTCTCTTCATTCACACAGAACACCTTTTGTCAATAAAATTTTATTTTATGTTCCCATGTATGTTGCAGATGGCCGGAGACATTTATTGGAGGGCCCTGGGGGCGGGCTGTGACTCTTGTCTATTAGTTCTCTCCTTGTCTATTAGTTCTCTCCCTTGTGTTCCTCAGTTCCTCAAGCATCTGCTGTAATCAAGAGTTGCTGGTATCTATGGAAAAAGAGAACTTCTAATTAAGTGTTTGCAGAGCCTTTGAAGCCCCCAAGGGACCTCTTCTAATCAAGAGGTTTTTAGTATTTCCTTCAAATTCACATGTTCTTTGATTCCATTTTCTATCATTCTGGTGGTGGTAGGTAGTTCTTGTCCACTGCCTCCTTATGTTTGTGGCACAATAAGCAACCAAAGCTAAGTCTGAAGACTTACGTGAACTGCACATGGCTCCCATTAGTGTTTTAAGCAGTGTTTTGGGGGTGGGAGGCGGGGAGATTTGCAACTGCATCTTTGCACTAGGAGAAAGTTGAGACATTGGTTATATTTTATTGGAAAAGCTTCACAGTTCCACCTCCTAGTAACTTGAAATAGTAAGAATGGGAGACTAGACCTTGTATTTGGTGTTTGAGTAGGGGACCTTGGTCTCTGCAGTGTTTGCGTGAGACTGGTTAGGAGGTGGTTAAAAGAGACTTAAGTTGCTTTTTCCTCCTCTGTTTTCCTCATCAGTTCTGATGTGCTGCAGAAATCTGTTAACTAGATTTATTCATCTTGACAGTGTCTTTTTGCTTAAGGAAATGAGTTTAAAGTAAAATGAGGAAAGTACTGATTTTGGAGGTATCTCATATGTGGCTAGCCAGTACTAGAGGCCTGAAGGGTTAAAGAGAGCAGGAGACGGGCGTGTCCTGTGTGAAAGAATAGGCAATAAAAGACAGTGTAGACCAAGGTTTTTTAAGGTTGGCACTATTGACTCTTTGGGCTGAATTATTTGTGCTCCAAAACCTACTAATGGACAGGATGTGCCAGGAGGAATAGTTCAATCAGACTTAAGAACACACCTTTTTTTTTTTTCTTTAAAGGTAATGTGTTCTGGCATCACTTAAATGTTAGCCTATGATAACATTGGTAATACAGCCAACTATGCAATTAGTTACAAAAGTCGTGTTTTTACAGCCAAATTTTCATTGAACTGAACGGTGCACTTTCATTGCCTAAACACAATTCAGTTTTCTCTGGAGCTGTTTCAGTAAAGGTTCATTAAAAAGCAAGGTGTATTGATATAATTAGATGACTGTTGGGTGGTACAAGTAATTCCCTCTAACCAGAATTGTGTTTTGTAATTATTTGCGAAGAAATAAGTTCAGATGTACTTTAGCTATACCCGGAATTATAATCTTAGTGATACTCTTTTATAATGCAAAGTAGAAGAATCTCAGAGTTGCAAGGAATGTTAGCAGTCAGTGAGACCAGTTGCATGCCTAAGTAATACGTTCCCTCTACTCTGTCTCCCTTTTACACATATGTCATTAAATTTTCTTCTTGGCATGTATTACTTGCACCTGTTCTTTTGCATTCAGTATTTGATGTCTAATATTTTTGGTTACGCCTGTATTAGAGGCATAATTATACTTAATTAAGGAAACTCATAATTATGTAAATACTATCGTTTAGAGCTTACCTTTATATGGAAAAATAACCAGGTCTTCTATGTAAAGAACTGATAGACAATAAATCCAATAAACACTGAGTGGGTGGGTCCAGTATAAGCCCTAATTAGGCCCTATGAATAAGTGAAACTACAGATGATACTACAGAATGAACTGGCTAAAAGCTTTGCTTTACTTTAGGTGGTAGACACAGATTTTAGTAAACAATTCCTAGGGAAAAGATCTCTTTTAAGCTCTACTTATATTACAAATAAAATTAAATTTTCAACAATTTGAATCTTTGTGCCACTGTATTACCAGAAAATGTTTTTCTATACAATTTTATTTTAAAAGGTTTATAGGCATTTAAATGATAGATGTTTTATCTAATTTTAGAAGTATAACACATGTTTTTTGTCAAAATGTAAGTAAATAGAATTAAAAAAATAACTACCTATAATCATACCACTGAAATGTAGAACCACTGTTGCCACTTTGGTACACATCTACCATGTTCTTTTTCTTTTTTTCTGTGCACATAGATACATATATAAAAATCAAAACATTGATCACACTGTACATGAACTGTTTTATTTAATGTTTCATTAGAATTTCCCCATAGTCTTTAGGAAATAGATTCCTATTGCTGTTATAACAAAGTTCTACAAACTTAAGTGTCTTAAAACAACACAAATTTAATATCTTACAGTTATGGGGGTCAGTAGTAGCCTGAAGACAGTCTCACTGGGTTCAAGTCAGGGTGTCAGCAGGGCTTCATCCCTTTTTCAGTTTCTGGAGGCACTTATGTTCCTTGGCTCCTAACCTCTTTCTCCGATTATGTCATCCTCATACTTCATCTTGATGGCTTCTACTGCTAGCCTGCCTCTTATGAAGACTTGTAATTGCATTGGACCCACCTGGATAATCCAGGATAACCTCCCCATCTCGAGATCCTTAGTTTTATTATACTGGCAAACTCCCTGTGGTCCTACAAAGTAACATGTACAGGTTCTGGGGGTGAGGATGTGGATATCCTTTGGGGCCCATTATGCAGCTTTCCGAAGGAACACAATTGGGAATTGCTGCATAGCATTCCATAGTATGGATGAACCATGATTATTTAGCTAGTCCCCCATTGCACTCTCAGATAGTCCCTAGTTTTTCCCAGTTATAATCCTTAGACATAATTCATTGCATGCTTTCAGATTTCCTACATATGGATTGAATTTCTAGGGGAGATTTTAGAAAAGCGTTACAGCCCACCTCTTAAGAGAGTGGCCTCTGGAGCCAGACTTGTCAGGTTCCCAGCCCAGCTTTCCCACTCACTGGCCATGTGGCTCTAGGGGAGTTCTGACTTACCTTTTGCCTCAGTTTTCTCATCTGAAAATTGGGGTAGTAACAGGTTGTTTTGAGAATCAAATGAGTTAATACATGCAGATTACTTAGCATAGCTCAGTAAATGCTCTTTTTTGTTAATACTAGATTTATTAGACCAACATTTTTTACAGCTGTTTTTAAGTCTTTTAAATACATGTTGTCAAATTACCATTTTAAAAGGTTATAAGAATTTTTTACTTTCAGTAGCAACATATGAGAGTACTCATTTTATTTACTCTTATTTATTTTCATATTAAGAATTGTGTTTAATTCTTAAACATGATTATTTTATACTGTCTCAATTTATGTCTGTCAAAATGGTACTTGATTTTTATAATGTACATTATAAAACAGGTTAATGGTAACAGAAATTTACTTTATCATGAATCTTTTCAGGGTTTTTCTCAATTCCCTGGGGAAAAAAATACTTCTAATTTCACTTTGACTAGCTCAGTCCCATCTGTTAGGGTGGCCTTCAGTGTAACAGTTGATGTGTGTAAATTTCTTTGACATGAGATATAGTCTGGTTATGCACACAGTGGGTCTAATATAAGAGGCTTGTAAGTGCTCTCTCCACATTTTAAAATTCAGTACTCCTACCCATGTCAGTGCATTCCTAGCACCTGATAAACATAGGACTTACTTA